GCAGAATGTTTGGAAAGAGCAGCTGAGATAAGTAGCAGCTAAATGTTATTCTTAGGAGGGAGAAAGGAAAAAGGGATCTTTAAGGAGTTTCACTGTATGTTGGGAAGATAATTTCCTCTAATATCCCATGCTCCTAAGATAACCTCAGTCAAGTCCCATGTGGCTCTTCAGTGCCCTAGCCTGTTTTACTTCTGGAAACTAGCTTCCAGATAGTATCTAGTCAAGTAAAAACAGCACTGTATGATGATTCTCCGTACACCAAGAAACAGCCTCAATACACTATGCATAGGGGTGCTCAGAAAGACAAAATGTATTTGTGGAAGAGTGTCAGCAAGTGGTGGGTTAAATAAATTCTCTGACACTTAAAAGTCATAGCTTTGGTTATGTGGAAAAGTCACAAAAGTAAACATCTCTCCAACGACATTAGATAAATTAAGTGTTACTGCATTTAAATTCCTTGAAATGTGTAGCCACAAAAGGTCCTTGAATAAACTTCTGGGTTCCATATTTGGCATAATAAACTATATAGTGTTTGGAAAGATCTTTTCTTTTTGGCATACTTTAGATCAAGCTTGGCATTGTAACAGCCCTAGAAAAACAAACCTTCACATACCAAAATTTTGACAAATTTTAGGTAAGTACCCTAATAGCTACAAAAAAGCAATGACTCAAAGTTTCCAAAGCCCCTCTCTCTTCCATACTTGAAAAGACATGTAAATGTGCTTGGCATGCAGAGAAGTGTGGAAAGTTTACCAGGTTCTTAACATTTTGAATGAGCATCATTAAAATTCATCACTGTTGCAATTTTCACAATATTATTCTCACATGACTAAAGGCATGAAATTCGAGTCACAAGAAGGCTCTGACCACTTTTAAAAATCTGTTTGAAATGTTTTCACAAAAACATGAAGAACATTGATAGGAGAGGCTATAATTTTTTTTCTTTTTTTAAACTTTTCTTTATTGAGATAACATTGGTTTACATAGTTCTCTCACAGAAACAGAAGATTCCTACACAGGGTAAATGAGGCCAGCTAGCTCTGCCCTGGTATCACATGGAATTTGTTATAGTTACTTCCGTTGATATCAGGCAGCACAATCCAATTTTAAGATCAAATAAAGCCTACTGAAACAGAGTAGGTAAAAAATATGGAGATGATTCTTCCTGAAAATTAAAACCACCACACACACTGCTAGCAATTTAGATATATTTGGGCTCTACTTGTCTTTGGAAAATGTTGAACTCTAAATCAGCTTCCAGAATGCATTTTATTAAACCCATGAATTATCCATGTACATTTGTGATGCTAAATGGTAAAAAAGTAAACTTAGTCACCACTGAGAATGTTCTCTAGCCTCTATGAGCACTTGTAGTGCTTGAAAGGGACAGGAATTCGTGATCCACCTGCTTTCAGGGAGGGTGGATCACAGAAAAGGTCTGGAAAGAAGAGCCTCAGCTACTATAATCCATAGAGCTTCACTTCTCTAACTGCAAAGTGTCCGGTAAAGAGACAAATATTTAAACTTCCTCATAGACGTATACCAGGTGATTTGACTTATATGGAACATAGAGAAATAAAACAAAGGAGCAGATGCAACTAAACCAAAACAAACCCTAGAAATCTGACTATAAAATTGAGGCTACAAAAAGGGGAGAGTGTTATAAAGGGGAGCAAAGAGAAGAAGGGGGCCCAACGGACTATAGTGGAGGACTATGGGTGCTTTGGTGGTGGTGTGGTGTGGCAACATACCTCTGAAGGGCTGTGAATTAATACCTCTAAGTCATAAACAATGTCATAAATCAGCCTTCCCTCAATATAAAGTAATACAATAAAAGGCCCACCCACACCCAACTGAATTACCTCAAACCATGCAGGAAGATCGTGCAGGTATCATTTCTATATTAAATACAGGAAAGTTGTTAAAAGAGAAAATCCCAAAAGTTTGCATAAAAGGATGAATTCCCCCCTTTTTTCTTTTATTGTTTCTATATGAGAAGATGGATACTAATTGAACCCACTGTAATTAGTTCATGATATGTAAACCAAACCATTACGTAGCACCTCTTAAACTTATACAGTGATGTATGTCAATTATTTCTCCATAAAACTGAAGGGCAAAAAAAAATATGTTTTTGTGAAAAATTTTCACAATATTTGCCTTCTTCACTCCTGCCAGATGACATGAACTTTTTGCAATCACTGAATGGCAAAATACAGAATGACCAAAAATAGACCATTAATTCACATGTTTCTAAGTTAATTCATATTTTATTCATTACAAAGAATAAAATGCTAGCATAATAGTGCCTAAAAACAACTTTATCATATGTGCTAGCTACAAAAGAACAGCAAAAATAATTATCTAGACAACTCTGAAAATCAGGAATAAGTGGATTCAGATTCCCAATATTAATGGTTCAAATACTAACTACCCATCTCAGCACTAGATTTCCAGAAAGAATGAAAATGGGATAAATTAACACTTATAGGATGCTTGCTATGTCCAGAGAGTAGATAAATAATCACCAAGGAGGTGATTACTCTTATGGCCATTTTACAGAAAAGGAAAATCAAGTCTACGGAAGGAAGTATTGGCAAATGACTGAGGCAATTGCATCTTGAAATTTACCTGTAGAGGCATAGACTCGTTTCTCTTCATCCTCCATCACCAAAATAGGTTGCCTACTTTGTTGCCCACTTGGCCTGTGCTCATGCTTCCTGTGGCCTACCTTCCTACAGCGATGCTCTTCCTCACCCCATTCAGCAAATCACTGTCCTCCCACCTTTCTCTGCTCTCGGCATCCACACATGTTCAACTTCCCCAAAATCCCTCCTCAACTTTTCTAGTTTGCTTTCTTCTCATTCCCATAGTTCATGAAAAGAACATTCAACAACTCCTGGCTTCTGCTTTATATCCGGTATCATTTTAGTCAATTTTAAAACTAGTCCAGTTTATGGTCTAGCTACTATTACTTCATGGAGACATCTCTGGCAAAGAACATATAGAACTTCATGGTTTTCCAACCTTAGAGCATCCAATCCTGCTAACCATTCCCATCTTGAAACCCAGCTTCACTGAAGAGACTCTAAATTCTCTTTCAAAAATCCATAGGCTTGTTTGCTTTCATTTTCTCTTTGACCTCAGTGTGACTCTTAAATACTAGAGTTTCTAATGTCATCATCCTCTAAATCCTCTTCTTCCGGGACTTGTACTCCCTTAATTCTCTAATCTATACTCCAGACTTGATTCCTAACTACGAACTTCTCCTGAGTTCCCTGACAATCCTTTTCATTTGCCTTTGGGTATCTCTAGTTGGGTGGCCCATTTATTCCTTAGCAAAAACACATACAAAATAATAATTTAACCCTTCCCTTCCAGTCAAGTAAAAAATCTGTTTTACTTCTTAGTGAATGGTATAACCATCAGTCCTAGTAGTTTAGGTAGTAAAGACATCAAAATCAGCCTGACTTTTCCCTACCTGGACTCAAAACTGTGATGTTTCTGCAGCCTACATATCCTTGGGTTTAATTAGCTTTACTTATTCAGTCCTTTATCATATTATTTGGGGTAGTGCAACAGCCAGCCAATGGCTTCTCTGACCCAGTCTTTTGTCTTCTAATATGTCTTCCATATTGTTTCTATCCTGCTCTTTATAAAAGGAGATATTCCTCTGTAAAATTTCAGTGGCTCCGTATGGACTACAAAATAGGATTTTAATGATTAACCAGCCCTAACCCATCTTTCCAACCTGAGCTTTGAAAACTTGCCTTTACTTGTTATTTGTTAATTTGTTCTAAACTACTTACATGCTTCTGTGGTTTAGCTTTTGCTACTCCCTGACTTAGATGCTCTTTGGGTCTCCCTGAAAACTTCCATCCATCATCTTTCAAGGGTCCCCTAATACTTCTTGTCCTCATCTTTTCTCAAACACCCCATCTCTATCTTGAAGGAAGACTTGTTCCCACATCTGTGTTTCCATACATCTCTTTATTACAGGACTAACCACAGTGCTTTACAGAGTCATTTGTTGACTCACTGCCCCACCATGAATCCTTCAAAGGCCCAGACTGTATTATTCATCTTTGGAGCAACAGGGTCTAATTCAGTGCTTGGATCATAGTTGGATGCTCAATAAATCTGCGTTAAAAGAACAAATTAATAGACCTTTTCCTGTTTGAGGTATTCAATTAGAATGTAGCTTCATTATAGCAATATGTGAAAATACACATTATATATCAAAGGGCAACAGCTTTCAGTGACATATATGAAGTTTGGATTTCTTGTAAAACAGTTTGAAATTCTGATAGTTGCTAAAGTGTGTATAATGCATTACCTATAAGAAGGAAAATATAACTGATGTTCTGTCAATAGCATGACTACCTTCCTTAGAAAAAAACTCACTTACTAAGCTGAATTTTCTCTCATTAATTCCCTTGCTCTTTCATTCATCCACTATTCTTTTACTCACACCTTACCACTTTCAAAGCATTTGAGCCAAAAAATTTTAGTTTGTTTCATCTGTCAATATGTTCTATCTGCCCATGAGTCCCAGTGTACCTACTTAATGTAGTCAGGGTCTACTTCAGGGAAAAACCTTCCAACTCCACTAATTTTAACTCTAGATAATTTACTGAGGGTAGATATTTCTTTTAACTATTCCTTGAATCAGTCTCCTAACTGGAAAATTTTAAATCCAAAATGTTAACGGCTTTATGTTCCAATACTCTCCAAGCTATACTAGGCATGACATAACATAATGAAAAGTAAATTCCATATCTGAGTGTATCAGACTGCTAAAATTTACCCTCTGTTATTATCTTCCCATCAAAATGAATTCCCACAGGAACGAGCCAATTTTAGGAGACCAGAAGCATCCCACAAAACTTAAACCTGTGTTAACACTGAAGTTTCCCCTTACTTTCCTTTAGGAAGGAAAGAACATCAGCATTTAAGACTCAATTTTCAGAGAATTCATTCTGAGCAGCAGGTGGACTCACCTGGTGAGTTCTGAGGAGAGGACACGGGGGAGCCACGTGGGGATTGACAGTAGCTGGGGTGGAGTAAGGCATGTGGAGGCACATATGACATTATCTCTTCTTCAAATAAACTGAGGGAAGACAAGGAAGAGATATACACTTTAATTGAAAAGGCGGAAAAAGGTCTTGCTTCCATGATAAGACAGTCTCACCTGACTCATTGTATCCAACATTCATTCTCATCCTGAAGGGAGCACCTGCCCCCTTTCTCCTACAGACTGTCCCTAGACAAAGGGCTGACGTAGCTTTTGTGAAACCCATGGTTATGTACCTGTTTGCCTATCAACTTTGGACAATGTGATTTTCAACTTTAATATGTGGGTATCTTTTGCTTTGAAAACAGCAAAAGAGTTCATAGACTTGGGGCTAAGTTTCAAACACAATAGACAACATTCACTGAGAAACTTTAATAAATACAAAAAGTATGTTTTATGTCTTCACCCCAAAAGTTATATAACAGGCAACAGCCTTCAAAGAGCTTAGTTTTAATTGGAAAATTAAATGCAAAATAAAGCAAAACACCTCCTAAATAAGTACAACTGCTCTGGCTTTTAAATATTTTCCAAATATGAGGATTTTGATCTTATATTTTTCAATCTGATGGCTTTTTTTTCTCCTACATACTGAGATTTCTGTTTCTAATACCTCCTAAAATATAGTAATCAAAGATCTGAGCTCTTGAAATCCAAGACTTTTCATTAATATTATGATAAAGAAAAGTACTATTGATCATAATAAACTCACGTATAAAAATACCTAACAAATACAATTAGTTACCATTCTTTATGTCTTTAGATGTGGTATGTTTCACTACAAAGCTTTAAAATTCTAATGTAGCCAAATTTATCAATTATTTCCTACATGAGCTCTGGCACTTTTTACATGAGTTGAGTTAGTGAACGAATATATGAAATAGGATATCAATAACACATGTAACAAAGTCATTTTAAAATTCTTCCTAAATTCCTGCATATAAGAAAATAACCTTACGTGGATTTATTTTTAATTGAATAATTTCCTAGAGTTATATCATTTCTATATTGTAGATTGCTTACAGTCAAGCTCCTCTGTGTCCAGGAGTGATTTTCCTTTTTAAAAAATAATGAAACAAGTCTTCCACTCTATATGCAACAAGTCTATTGATAGTGGTCATAATAAATGACCCTCATTTATTATAATCCTCAAGTAAAATAAAAGATAAAGTACAGATATATCCTAAAATGTTTCAATAAATATTACCTATTTTTATTATATGTGTACAAAAAGTACATTGTATCACTGTGTATAATCATTAAAATAATAAATACATTTGATAATACAAATGAAATGAAAGTATATAATTAAAAACATCATATGTATATACAGTAAGGGGACTGTTATATGTAAGTGAATTCCACATTCTCCATCAAGATTCAAGTAACATTTGAATCTTTATTTTCCTAAATGGGAAAAAATGTATACCTACTCTTTATATATAGATTATTTTTCAAAATTTTTTTAGTTCTACTATATAATATATAAAAACTCATATAAACTGTGGTGTTCAGCAAAGTACAAATATTCTCAGCCATACTGTAACTTGAAGTATTTAATACTATACCATCCAAAGAAGATTTAACTAAGTGAATAGTAACCATGATTTCTGTCTTGTACTCATTTTAGTTTTCATAGTTCTAAAATTCATTATTTTAAAAATATATAAGTACCCATTTTAGGATATATATCTATTCTTTATCTTTTATTTTACTCTTGAAAGAAACAAAAAAAAAAACACATCCTAATCAGAGTTTTGAATAAAAACAAACTATTTTATCACCAACCAAATCATGGTAGAAACATCTACTTCATATGGATTGACTGATAGACCTTCTGTTGGCTAGTACACTAAGAAATAGTTCAGTGTACCGCAGTCAAATTTCATCCCCTAGACTTAGAATTAACTCCTTCACCAAAAGGTCTTGTTCAGCTTCAAGTAAATGTTAAGGTAAAAAGTAAAACCAAATAGATTTAAGAGAGAACTGATGCAATCTGAAATGAAGTTATCACTAAACCAGCATCCTACATACTCAATGTGAGTATTCTAAATTTTAAGAGTAAAGGAGACATTTGAGGATACCAGTTAGTGTATTATTTCCTCCTTAACTGGTTAATGACAGGAGACTTTCTACTTCAAGAACTAGTGTTACACACATACCTCAGCAACATAACAAGGTCTGCATCACTTGAAAGGCGCACCAATCCTGGGGTCCCTTCAGTTCGTATAAATTGGATCTTCTCCCTATTTAAACAGAGACAGCTTAAAATATAGGTGGTTGACTCTTGGAACATAACTCAGTGCTTTAGACACCACTTAAAAAGCTTTGGCCACAGACTTTTTGGTACCCATTATGGTGTGACAGCTACTGTGTGATACAATAGGGACAAACACACATTTGAGAGAGACATGGTTATGGTCCTAAAAATCACCCCATTCAAATGAATGGGGTGAATCTATTTCAGTGCTTTCATTATTTTGCAATCCAAATACAACTATAGATAAAATACCATCCAGGGCCTCCCTGGTGCTGCAGAGATTAATTGTCAGCTTTATCAAGCTATCACCAGCTACAGTGGCATGAGTTCAATCCCTGGCTGGAGACCTAGCCCACAAGGTAGAGCAGACCTCTCTACTGTCCCACCCACTGCTCCCCTCAGGTGTATATCAATAGATATGCCTGCTTTGCTCCCCACTCTGTCTCTGGTGGGGAGAATTCTCTCATGCTCCCATCCCATACTCTGGCCTACATCCCAGTTCATGAATACCACCCATCCAATAAAATTCAGTCTTCTTGAATTAAAGTATAGTGAAATTAATCTATTTTCATGAGGTTAGAACCATTTTGCACAATATATTTTAAATATATGAATGATCTAATATTTGGTAGCACCAGATTTGTGTTTCTGTCCTTTACTTCCAGTAGCAGTATTCCTCTTTCCTCCCTCCCTCTCTCTTTCTCCTTCTCTTTCTTCCTATATACATACACACATATAAACATGTATATGATATATATAAGAGTAGCTATTAAAATTCACAGCTGATTTATATTAAAAAAAATAAAACCCAGTGTTAAATCACTTGTCTGAAGCACATAACAGAAACAACAGCCCAATATCTGGTGAATGATTTTTTGCTAAGAGATATAGAGGTTTTTTTCAAAAAGCCAAACTTGAGAAAAGTTGTCTTGTGGAAAAAATGAACAGTAATTTAACCAAAGAAGTACTGCTATATAGGTTCGGTAACAATACGCTTTGATCTTGATGAATTAAAAGTTATTGCCAACAAATGCACAGCTTATCTCTTTATTCTATCATCACAATAATCCAAAGGGAGGGGAAAAAAAAGAAGATAAAACCAGAAAACAAACAGATTGAGTATTCTCCCACTCTAACAGGAGCTGTAAGAGCAGGCTGCACGATGGAGATAGCAAGGTCGACGTTGTGGCCTGCAGATTTCCTGTGAAAGATCACAAGGATGACAGGGTGCGGAGGGAAAGGGAAGTCACCATGGAGAAATGCGAAGAAGGAAACTTCCATCACTCATCCAGATAGTGGCTATGAAGCAATGACGGCAACTGGTTTGATGCTTTAGGAAAAGATCCTGCTGAGGCAGGTGGAGACTCATTTTCTACCAAGATGTTTTATTTATCATAGTGACAAACTATGAGTATTTTGCTCCTGGAAATACGATACAGGGACATGCCAACTGATGTACATGACACCACCATGTACTCTCTTAGGCTAACATTCATCCATGCTTTCAGGAAACATTTCTGAGTGTCTTCTATGTGCTGTGCATGGTCTCACAAACTTGGAATGCAACGGGAGATAAGACTTTAGGCCCTTTCATAATGCATTTATGGTGTGATGGAAGAGAAAAGGCAACAGAAAAATCTCACGTTATATGGAAAGGTTGAAAATGTCTTATTTGCTTAAGTGAATACTATTTAGTCCTTGCACCCACTCCTGGGATGTCCTTCATGAACTTTTATGCAGAAACAAAGAAGCCTTTGGTTTAGCGACTATCACAAGAGCAGATCAAGGCTGAGAAATACAGAGGTCAGCCAATATCCTTAGAAATGACATCAATCTTTTCTGAGAAAAAAAAAACAAGAACTGCTTCTTGGTTATAGGTATTTGCCCAAGACAGACCAGTATTTCTCACACTGGTATCCTTGTTCACTAACATCAACATAATCTGAAGTTCCAGGAGAACTTTAAATTCTTCTGTATTTTCACTCTGATTATCAACACTGCTAGTTTGGGGCCCTCCCTGGTGATGCAGCGGGTTAAAGTACAGCATTACAAAGTAAAGCCACTTCTGCATGAGTTCGATCCCTGGCCTGGGAGATGACCCACATGGCACAGCAGACCTGTCCTGTCTTGCCCAATACTCTCCTAAGTAGTGTACTTCATTAGTTAGCCTGTTTAGCTCCCCACTCTGTCTCTGGTGAATCCTCTCACTGCACCCACACCTCTGGCCTGCACCCCAGTTCGTATGCATAAATAAATAAATCTTAAAAAAATAAATAACAAAATAACAGAAATGCTATTTTGGGTTGAGGGAAGGGTATTTTGGATAATCTGTATGACACATATGACTGAACACTGACTGCTATGTGACTTTGGCCCCATGTTTGCATATCCATGATAGCTGGTGCCAAGAGAGCAATGATGAACTTTCTGTGTTGGTGATCAGTAGAGGCTTGATGCTAAATGTGACAATAGTGCCTGCCTGTCACTAATGCACAGTCCTTTAGCATGAATATGATAAAAGCTTTCTTTTGTAGATTTATTATACATAATGAAAATGATAAAGTGAGGCTAAGAAAGGTTATATAAACTGCAATAGGCTAAAGAAAAAAATTAATTAATTTTGAAAGTAAATTATGCACTTAAGCATAATGAAAGAATTTACGATAGTTTGCAAATAGAAAAATTGGGGGTAGGTTTGGCATAAGGTACACTGAATATTTTACTTCATCATGTATATGGGGGCACATTATTAAATTAACTGTCTCATTAAAATAATAAATTAGGGCCCTCCAGTTAGGGTACAATGGGTTGAAGCACAGCACTATAACGCTATCAAAGCCACCGCAGCATAAATTCAATCCCTGGCCAAGGGGGTGACCCACATGGCGTAGCAGACCTCTCCTGACCCACCTGTTTCTCCCCTCAGCAGTGTATTTAGTACATCTGCCTGTTCTGATCCCCATTCTATCTCTGGTGAATCCTCTTACCCCTCCCCATATCTCTGGCCTGTACCCAATTCTGAATATATAAATAAATAAATCTTAATAATAATAATAATAATAATAATAATAATAAATTAGTAGGTAAAAATAAGCTGATGCTAAGAAAAAAAAATAATACCCAGAATGTACATGATGGATTGTAAGATGCAAAATGAAATCAAAAACACAAAAAGTTTAATTCTATCTTCCCACTGACAATGGTGTTTACTATTGATGATTTGACTTCTAAAAAATAAGACCTTTTCACACTAATATCATTATTTAAATGTTTTTTTTTTGTTGTTGTTTTTACTAGTTATATATTTTGTGGTTTTTAGTTTATAAGGATTATAAGGATAAGGAGTTTCTGCACATTAAGCAATTTAAACATAATTATTTCACTAAAGTGATAAAAGTTAACACTGCAGACATATAATATTTCTTCTTTTAGAATAGAAAATAACAGATTTGGCACCTAACAAATTCTTGGTGGCTCACTCAGGTCTGAACAGACACAAGTTTGGGCAGTATTGTTAAAGAGACCGATGACTCCAGTTAGAACATTTGAAAGTTTTTCTCAAATATTTATTCAAGATTATTTAAAATATTTATAGAGTTAGAAGGAATCTGTGGAGGCCTCTATTCTTTCTTTACTGCTTTTTCCTTAAGAAATTCTATTCTGTTTTAGTGGCTTATCCTAAAGATTAAGCTTATATTCAAATATCATTTTACCATTCAACCCTCTCTGCAGGATATACTTCTCTTTCTGTGACCTTTAGACCATATTCCAGCATTTCCTCCTTTGCACTTCTACTCAGTGCTTGGAATCATATATCTTGCTAACATTATTCTCAACAAAACAAAATTTTATATACAAAACCACACCACACAGGTACAACTTATGTCTAAAAAAAAAAAAATAGTTTCTTGGAGGTGAAAGATTTTTTTTCCTTTATTTTTGTGTTCTTCAAGTACCGTGTTGTATTAAAAAGGAGTGTTCAATAAAATACAAACCAGGCACAATACCAGTTAATACCAAAATGACAACCTTGGGCTCCTAACAAATTTGCATGAATTCACTCAATGGAATAAATTATCAGCTATCATTTTTGGTTGTGTCAGAAAGAAAAAGAATCAGATGTCAAATTATTTAATAAAACACAGTCCACTGGGGAGAGAAAGATAAAGAAGCAAACTCTTAAAGAGAAAACTAACAAGTGTTATAACTGGATGCTAAAGTGTACAAGTGACAACCGCAGCAACAAGTTGCTAGTTGTTATTATTGTCACTGCAATATTTAGACCTTTGTAACCACTTCCTCCAGTACATAGAATCTGCGAGGAGATCAACTCTAGCAGATCATTTGAGGACAATCAACAGTTTCAAAACCAGAATTCCCACAGAAAATGTTCTCACAAAAAAGAAGTAACATTTTGGTGAAGTTAACAAAGGGCATGTGATCAGAAACAACCGAAGTAGCAACGCCTCTAAGCCACAGAATTCTGCAGTACAGACCCTGCACATACATGGTTCTTATAGATACAGCTCAATCACACTGTTGAAAATAAATGCATTCTAAAAAACTACCTGAAGGTATCTTAGAGATATCCCATGACTTCTCTAATAGTGTAATGTCCAAGAGGGAAAATAAACATTGACTATTTACTCGGAACTACAGTCACAGGACATGGCCTGACTGGAAGGATTGAGTGGAGCAAGCAGAAAGATCAGCATTCTCTGCACTTTTCATTATATAGGTTAGATTTGAAAATATAAGTTCATTAGGGCAACACAATTCTTGGACATATAAAAGTGACATCCATTAGGCACGTATTTAAGGAGAAAATACTCACAAGTGGATATAAATAATGTCCATGTTAAGAATTTAGAGTTTTTGTGTGTATGTTCATCTTGGGATAAGCATAGTTATAGTATCTGCTTCATAGGGTTGTACGAAGGATTAAGTGAAGAAATACAAATAAAATTCTTAGTGTGGAACTAATTA